CACAAAGTTCTAGTGTGTTGTGGACATGCATAATGACCGTGACAGTTAACTGGTGGCTAGGCATCACTTGTGGAACTGAGCTACAGCTATTTCTTTGAAATCCACCCTGTGGATTCAGATGGAATCATGACCCATAAGGTGGAAGAGAAATCCATGTGTAGAGTGTGCTGATGGAAATTTTTTGCTGTTGAACACAAAAGAGTAACTGAAAAGACTACTATTGTATACCTCTTACTCTCCTGTGTTTAATTGTTTGCCCTATTTGGGGGGTTCTTTCCATTCTCATTCATGGGACTGTGATCAATTTGCTCCCTCTCTAGAACATCATTTAGTAGTCTGTGTAGGTTTGGCTTTGTCTTCATGAAATTCTTTAATTGTTCTTTGGATTGACCAAATTTGATACTGATTGTTATTCTGACATTTTTTTTTTAAAGGAGACATTAGAGAATTATATAACTCACTGTAGAACAAAAATAAAAATGAGAAATTTTTTGAGAAATTGCATATGCTAAACATTTACAAGATATTCTTATGATAATTGTATAAAGTACTCAGTGACATTGGTAACTGTGTGATTGTTTTGTAAAATAATGCCTATCATGGATAAAAGACTTGTTGCTCCTTTAGTACCTGTCAGTGGTATTGTTTGACAGCCTCTCTGGTTCTCCCAGGTTCCAGGGGAAACTCAAGGTGACAATTACTTTACTGGAAAGAAAACTATTGAAACAGTCAAAGCGGTAAGTTGATGTGGAAGACATGGGCACAGGACAGGGCCTGAGGAGGCTCCTGCAGTGGAGAGAGGGAATCTGACAACTAGACAGAGAGGGCTCCCAGCTTTACCGATTGATGTTGTGGAAAGAGAATTTTCAAAATGTGTCATTGAAAGGCTTGGGAAGAGCAAATGTGAAATTTTCCTTCACGAGGGTGGAGTGCGAGTGCTCAGAGATCAGAGGTAATGAGGTGCATTATTTCCTGGAGCAGGAAACATTTATGCTTCTCTTGAAGGGGTGAAAACCCCGGGAAAAGGCAGCCTACCCTCTAAGAAGGAACTAGCCCGTTCTGTAGGTGTGGACCCAGGGTTCTTTTTTGTTAATATGTGATGTGTTAAACATTCTTTGGATTCTCTCAATGGATTCCTTTATCTTAGGATCAGGTTCCTACTTTTTACTTTCTCAGTCAAGCCAATCTATGGACTTTAAATACCCCGAGGAATTTTGGGTGTGATGGGTCATGAAGGAAAGGAGCCTAAATTTAATGAAGATACTGGTATGGATCCCGTTGGCTAACTGTGGCTGGGTCTTAGAAGTTGCAGTCTTATTTCAAGTATAATTTTTAGTTATTTCCTTCTTATCTCTGCCTGTTGTATTCCTTTTGTCCTAGCTCATGCCATCTCATTTTTTAATAGAAGCCCAGCTTTTCTGTAAAAGTCTTTCTGTATCAGTGAAATAGCCTTTATGTGGCAAAAGACTGATGTAGTTTGAGGTAGAACCCCTACCCTTTACCTGCTCAGTGTGTGGTTTCTAGCAAGGAACGCTGATCCCACCTACAAGTAGCACCTTTAGGTGTCCTGGAGACCTCTACTGGAGGTATCCAGAAATGATCTTACCCTAATCCTTTCCTTACAAATTAAACAATAAACAAAACCAAAGACATTTGTCAATAATACTTTTCAGTGTTCTTTTGGCGTGTCTTTATTAAGCTGATTCAAGCTGCTTCACATGATGTCTTTGTAGTCAGGCCTTCCGGGTTGTGTGTCCCGGACAGTGAAGAATGTGCTGTAATGATGTCTCTCCTTTGTCTTCACTGGAGTAGGCGGAGAGGATCATGGAGGCCATTGAGCTTTACCGGGAAGAAACTGCAAAAATGCAAGAACATAAAGCCATTTGTAAAGCCGCAGGGAAAGAGGTAATGGTAGTTCATGAAGCTACACGCTAAAAAATACGAATGAGATGCCTGGGACAAGAGCATTTCAGAAGTTATAACTCAGATGAGTATATAAATGAATACAGTAGAATGTTTCCAATTCAAGCGTCAAAAGCATGAGTGTGCGGGCCGGGCCCCTGGGGCTCGCTGAGACACAGTTGAAACTGGGTGTGGTGGTGCACGCCTGTAATCCTGGCTCTTGCAAGGCTGTAAACAGGTGGATCACTAGTCCAATCTAGTAGTGAGACCCTGAACATCTGTAAAACCTCCCCCTCAAAAAAAAGCAATACAGAAACAATGAATGGAGGAATCTTAGTCTTAATAAAAGAGAATAGGAATTATAGATTAAAATGATTCATGTGTTGAGTTAGGAGATCATGTTCCTGTGTTGGTTTAGGAGGCAGAGTGACCATTTCAGGTTTGTTGATAAAAATGTACTACCCAAATTTATAACTGGAGAACTAAAGCCATATAATTCTTTTATACTATTCGTTTTTAGGGTTTCCTTCTCTTTTCAAAATTTTAAATACCATTGTTACCCTGTCTGTGAAAAGTGCTGTGACTGTCTCAGTAATGGCCTACAATAATGTCTTCCTAGGTTCCTCTTCCCATCAACCCCATCCTGATGGCTTACGGCAATATTTCAGTGAGTACAGTGTCTGCCTTCCCGTGATTTTTAAACGTGAAAGACAGTGGAGATGCACTTCAGTTTGGAGATAGATGCACGGGGAAATTACTAGCCTTTAAAAATATTTAAGTGTTTGAATTTCTGGGTTTTTTAATTAGCGCATGTGTGCAGTGCATAGCGAATACATGCCTTGCCTGGAGCTGGCGCATGCGCCTAGCCCCTCTCAGGGCTATCTTCAGCATCTTCCCCTTCTAGCCACCCCGCCCCCCATCTCTGTTTCCTTCCCACTTAAGAAACATCTGTCCCCCTTCCTACTGTCTGTCTGTTATTTTGGTGTTTAAATTTTATTTATATCATATAAATAATCTTATTGTTGGTACTGTATCATTTATTATAATACATTGTATCATTATTTATATCATATGAGAAACCTTGCCCTATTTAAGCTTGTGTGAATTTCAAAAGGATCCCTTTAACTTCCTAAGTCAGCATTTTGTCTGACTGGACTCACACTCTACAGTGTTCTAGTGCTTACTTTGGGTCAGTATCCCAAACCCTCTGAAGATTCTACTCATTTAAATGAACTTCTAAATAAGTCTTTAGAGGGAGAGTTGACATAGTTAAATAAAGGGAAAGAGGGAAGGGGAAAGGAAGAATATGCTTATGCAGCAAGCACTATTTACTATTTCACTTGTGTGTCTCATTCATCACGATAATCTTATGAGTCTGTGTTAGGTTCATTTGATAGATAAGGAAAATGGCCCAGCTTAGTTGGTAAAGGCTCAGCTCCCTTGAGAACCCGGATCTGGCTAAGGATTTCTTCAAATGAGAGAGAGGGGGTCTTTGTTTTTTACATGCTAGAAATCATATTGTTAACAGAAACCAACCAAGAGCCTCACTCATGGTGTTAAATCTTGCTTTACAGCCTTCATCTTATGTGTTAGAGATCTTTAAAGGGATCAAATCAAGGTGAGTCCTAGTGCACAGTCATAGTTTGTCGGGTGGCGACACACGTGAAGTGCTCATGTGAACGTGTAATAAAGAGAAGTCACAGTTACTTCCTCAGAAGTTTTTATGATAAACTTAATAAAGAATAATTCATTATAATATTCTTTTGAAATGTTAGAACTAAAAGACTTTCAGCCAGGTGTGATAACACAGGTCTGTAATGCCAGCACTCTGGAGGCTGAACCAGGAGGATCGCTGCGAGTTTACGTCCAGCCCATGCTATATTACAGTGAGTTCAAGGCCAGCATGAACTACATAGTAAGACTATCTCAAACACACACACACACACACACACACACACACACACACACACAAATTATGATCCTTCTTTTAAACTTTGGAGATACTTTTAAGAATGAGTGAAGTATTTATGTTGTAGATAAATATCAAGTAACACATAAATCAAACTAACCATTTGGGTTCATGCTAAAATTCTAGCATGCTGGGAGGCTGAAGAAAGAAGATAACAAATTCAGTTGTTGGACAATTTAGTAAGACCCTATTTCAAAATATAAAACAAGAAAAGGCCTGACGAAGTACTTAAGTGCAAAGGCCCTGTGTTTAATCCCCAGTTCTAAAAAAAAAAAAAAAAAAATCTGAAGTACCAACAATGTTAACATTTTTTTTCTGCATATATTTCCTACAGACTTCTTGAACATCTGCATATATTATTAATGTTCTTCAAAAATGCATTGTTAATTACTCAAAATATTTATTGTACAAGTAATATCTATTGGATGTTACATTTCTCATTTTTTACTATTACCAATAATGCTTCAGTGAACACCTTTGCATATAAATCTTTATCATCATTATTAAATAAGTTTACAAAGTAAACCTAAAAACTGATCAATGTGCCTAGGCTTTTTAAAGTTTTATACTTCCAAATTATTTTCCTAGTGCTTATAACTATTTACACATTTGCAAAACAAATAATGGTGTTATACTTCGTTCAGTTCTTATTGTCATTGAAATTAAAATTGCATATTTTTGCCTCTTTGTGTATTTTCCCTTTTAGTTATTATCCTCTCTGAGCTGTTCATAGTTTCACATTCAGAATTTTTACTATTGTTACATACTTTGGAAATAATGTTATTTATGTGTTACCTCTGAGCTTTATGTTTGACTTAAGACTATTTTCATAATGAATCAAATATCTAAATATAACTTAAATAAGGATATCTTAAGACAGTGAGGAAACTTCACTAGCGAAATGTAAATGAGAATCAGTTCACAGAGGGGCGATACATTCCAAGCAAGAATGAATCTGCATTTTAAAGGTGTAATTTTCTTTAAGTAATAGGATTTCTAATCTCAAATGAAATCCTCTAAGATTATTAATTAGAATTTATGAAATAATAGTACACCTGATTCCAAAAGGTGCTAGTATCCAGGATTTAAAAAATATGCTGAAATTAGCAAGATTAAAATAGCATAGCAGTGGTGTCAGAATCAGTAATTGTCATTAGGAACTCAGTAGTCCTGAAAAAGACACACACACACACACACACACACACACACACACGCACATACACACACACGCACATACACTTAATAGATGGTATTTTTAAAAAGTGTCATAAAGAGGTAGAATGTTTAACAAAAGGTTTGAGGAGCAGTGTTTATCTGGAGAAAAAAAGATTTGTCCAACATGCTGTGGGCCAGCCAGTATTTCAAATGGATTAGAACATGAAATAAAAATAAAACCATTGCAGAGTGAGTCCTATAGAATATGGCTAGATCTCAGCTTAACTCTGAGCAAGCTCTGTTCACGTGTGAAAGTAGTAAGAGATTTAATAATCAACCATGTTAAGAAGTGTGACATTTTCAGTATTTATTTTTTTCTTTTTCAGTGAGCTGGAAGAGTCTCTGCTCGTGTTGCCTTTCTCTTACGTTCCAGATGTGCTGAAACTCTTCACTGAGTTCATGCAGCTGGGATGTGACGTGGAACTGATATGCAGATGCCTCTTCTTTCTCCTCAGGTAACGTCCTTTTGCGAAGAATGCCATGTCTACTCAAAAGGACTGCTGAGTTTTCTGTTAACTGAAGCCGTCTGCACTTTGGGATTAAAAATAGGATGTTTCGGTGTCAGAAACTTAGGAGCGTCAGCATTGTCTGACATCCATATTTCTCAGCCTTTTTTTAAATATTCTTGCTGTTGAAACGGGTGGTGATGACCCACTTGGCTAAATGATACATAGTGGTAAGACATTGCTCGGGAATGCTACTCCATGTTAGGCTTCAGGGTACAGTCCAGGGTAGTAGGAGAGGAATCAAGACACATTAAATGTACCTTAAAATATTCTTCCTGAAGACAAAAACTGGTCAGCCAATACAAATGGCTAGACAGGTATATTTAGTGAATTTACTGAATAAGTATTGAGAGAATTAACCTCTTTTCATGATTTCTTAATTCTTTGTTTCTTATATTCTTGTCGGGATAGTACCAAGAGAATAGCTTGTTATGTTTTTCTGTTGCCAAATTTATAGTTTGGGGTAAGTTGCGAAGGCAGAAATTCATACTCAGCAATGTATGGCTTATGTGCTACTGAATCAGGGTCAGCAGTGAGAAGCACTGCATACTTCTGGTGTCCTCAAGCTGTTGGGATTAGCAAGCACTGCCTGAGAGCAGGATCATTAGGCTGTCTCAGCACTGTAGGTCAGAGTATGACTGAGAAATTACCTTCTTTTTTTCTGTGGAAAAATTTAGAAATGTTAGCATTTCTTAAAAAGCTCATTCTGACACTAAGCTTTCCACAAAATACCATTGTCAAAAATCTGTGGTCTAAGGCCAAGCTGCACATCAAAAAGACCAAAAAAAAAAAAAATCTGTGGTCACCTGGTAGGTTGATGGGAAAAGAATTCGCTTTGCACATTCTTCATGATAGAAAAGACTTCTTTTTGGTGAGTCCTTTCTTTTCTTCATTGACTCATATAAAGCTTTTTACTCTAGCTAATGCTATTTTTGTCTCTTCAACCAATTCCACCCTCATCTCATAGAGAATCAAAAATAACTATTGACTCGGGGGGGGGGGAGAATTCGCTTTGCAATGAGCATAGCGTGTATGAAGCTTAGTATACCATTTTTATATTGTTATCAAATTGTGCTACTTGGTAAAGAAAGAAATTGAAGATTTTAATTGTTGCTAGAAGCTTTGCTTGACTCCCATGATATGGGGAAATAAATCTGTATTTTGTTGCTATTGGATTGATAGCATACTGTCTATTACTGCTAAGAGGACAAGACCAGAACTTCTCTGTACAGCATGACACTATATTGTTTTTCTACTAGGATTCATTTTGGACAGATCACTAGCAACCAAATGCTTGT